GAAGGTTGCGCAGTGCTGTGCAGCAAGTTCTGCAATACAGGGGGCTTCAGTGCGTGGCCGGGAATTGGGAGCCCATCCTTACGATGCGGTGTCGTGATGTAAGATTCCCTTGACCTTGACGCCCGACAATTTAGTGACATGAACAAAGGAAGTATACTCGTACCTAAGAGCAATTACACGAGTTTGGAGCCACATCCTCGGACAAGACGTTCTCCCACAGCAACTTGATGAATCGACTGTTCTGGCACTGCAGATGCTATGTCCGTCGTACTCGTCGCATGACTGCGACACCATAACTAAGCTATTCGCCGACAACAAGGTTTTCCCCTTGATTCGAGATGTCAGTCAACGGAACATGATCTGCAAACGGGTCATCACCTGCAAGCGGATCCGGATACATTTTTTAGCGACTTCATCTACGTTCGAGCCTGTTTTGACGGCCTGAAGTTACTTACGCCCTCTGACTGGAGGACCTGCAACATGAGCTTTGAGCAAGTTTGTCGACAAAGCTGGGAATCGAAAGCAACAGTGAATAGCGACGCGTATTCGTCGACCAGCGATTCTAGGATGCCCAGCGGTAACTTTAGAGACTGCTATATCGACTTATGGCTCTTTGCCATGAGAGAGTTTCCGTATCTCTCGGAAGGGAAAGCAAGTAGGCCTTTGCACGACGGCACACCAGCCAGCGTCGAATGTCGGTACCAACGCACTGTATCAGCAAAACAAGCCCAGCTGGCTTCGACAGCTTGTGCGCTCGGATTTGAGACCGACAAGATCAAGAGGACCAAAGCCGGTCATGCGACAAGCGTATTTCAACCAGGACAAATATCGCTGGCGCCAGAGCTCAGTTGCCACGATCCCCCTCTGAAATGGAAAGCTAGAAGGAACAGGCCGTTGAGCTCGAATTACGCTAGGGACAAAGACTTCCTGCACAGACGGTATATCTTTGATACGTCAAACTTTGAGCGGAAGTCTCAAGCAACGTCGTTCGCCATTGCAAAAGATTTGATCCATTGTTGTTGGCAAGTCAATGTTCCTGTCTACCGGAGCTGCTGTAAACGAAAGCGTTTCTCTACCATGCAATTGCCAAGTCTCCCCAACTCAGGGGTCGGTCTGTCCTCCGTTGGCCACTGTGACCCAGATCCGCGAGCGTTGGAAAGGTCCAAAATCAGGCCATCAAACACAATGCGAGACGAAGCGTACGGGCAAAGCTCCGTTCAGGGCAGCCCAAAAAAACAGATGGAATCCTTACGGTCGACCGGAAACGCGAAAGCCAGACTCGCCAGGCTATAACAGCTTGATCCCTCCCAACCCTTTCTCGAACGTGGATGGATATAATGACGAGCCAAATGAGGCAGCGTTATTGCCGAAAAAAGCTGTGCAAGAAGAGGACTTCTCTATCAAGGCAGAACACGACACACCGTCCGATGTTTTCAAGACTATCAGGAATGTGATGGACACGAAAGGGTCACCATCGGCATATTCCGGCGATGGAGTGAACTCCGTCAAGGCAGAATCCGACACACGGTCCAATATCTCGGAAAGCATCATGGATATAAGAAGCTTACCCTCGGTACGTTCTGCGAATAGAATGGAAGAAAAGTTACCCTCTGGACGAACATCGACGAAAGACTTGTCTATGCACGCCCGTCCCGCCCCATCTAGAACGACGTCTCGATCGAGCTCCATGCGCTGGATGAGAGAAGGAGGCGATAGTGATTCCAGAGAAGTTGATGATGCTGCTAGAACCTCTGACTTGATACAGCCAGCGGTCGAGAGCAGGCTTTTGGATGATGCGAGAAGATCTCCTGTCCGCCAGATTGGTGAAGGCGCCGTTGTACGAAAGAGGAAAAGGTCGAGTCAAGATGGCACGGCCCAAGTAGAAAACATGGCGGTCCGTGGTGTCGAAGACAAAAGACGTGCCTCAATTTGGCC